GGATAGTGGCTTAGCAACTTCATGTGCCAGTTCCCTTGGGACCTGCAGATGTATCTCATGGGGTGCCATGGGCTTGTGTATCTTTAGGTTCCTTAGATCAGCTCGAACCTGATCTTCTCCTACAATGGGTGGTTCTTTATTCTCTCAGTCCCTGTCTTTTCCTTCTGTGACTTCAGTGGTGTGGCTGGAACATTTTCCAATGGAGACTGAGGCCAGAAAGTCATTGAGTACCTCAACTTTTTTCATATCCCAGATAACCAGTTTTCCCGTTTCCTTCCATAGAGGGGTCACGTTATCCTTACTCTGCCTTTTATCACCGACACACCTATAGAAGATTTTCTTGTTGCTCTTGAGATCTCTGGCCATATTTAATTCTATCAGGGCTTTGGCTTTCCTAGTCTGATCTCTGGCTGCTCAAATAATTTCTGTGTATTCCTTCCAGGCTACCAGCCCTTGTTTTCACCCTCTATGGGCTTCCTTCTTGTTCCTTAGTTTGTTCGGGAACTCCTTCTTCATCCATGCTGGCCTCCTGGCATTTTTGCCCAACTTCCTCTTTGTCAGGATGCATTTCTCCTGAATTTGGAGGAAATGATCATTGGATATAGCTTTCCTGGCCCTCTTCCCTCCAGGGCTTTATCCCATGATACTTTAGCAAGCAGGTCCTTGAAGAAGTCTAAGTCTGCTCTCCTGATGTCCAGGGTAGTGAGCTTGCTGTGTGCTCTCCTCACTGCCTTACAATTTTGCACTCTACCATTTCATGATTACATCAGCCAAGACTGCTCTTGAGCTTCACATTCCCCACAAGCCCCTCATTGTTTTTGAGAATATGGTCCAGCAGAGCACCTCTCCTTGTTTGGTCTTTTATTATTTGGAGGAGGAAGTTATCATCAACGCATTCCAGGAACGCCCTGGACTGCTTATGTCCTGTTACGTTGTCCAACAGATATCAGGGAGGTTAACGTCCCCGTTGAGGATGAGGGCTTGTGAATGTGAGGTTGCTTCTATCTGTCTGTAGAGGGCCTTATCCACTCTTTCTCCCTGGTTGGGTGGCCTGTAGCAGGCCTTCACTATAATGCCACTTTCCTCTGCCCTCCCTTTAATCTTGACCCATAAACAGTCAATTACTTATCCATCCCCAGGCAGAGCTCCATTCACTCCAGCAGTTTATTGACATAGAGTGTGACCCTCCCTCCTCTTCTCCTCTGCCTGTCTTTCCTAAAGAGCCACCACATTTCTGTAATGCCAAGATCATAACTCTGTAGACATGCACACCCCTCTAACTCCTCTCCTTTATTCCCCAAGCTATATGCGTTTGCAGAGTCATTTAAGTTGAACACCCAGTGAAGCTGACTTACTTGCTGGATTTCCTTTGTGCTGTTTTTCAGGTGCTCTCCCATTGACCTGTGATCCCTCTCATGGCTCTAGGAATCTATTGCTAGCACTTGCATCAAACTGGTAGAAGTGGGATGGATTGAGATTCTCCTCCCCCAGCTGTGGCCACAGTCTCATAACCAGTTCTTGACTCGCCAGATACAACCGCCCCTTTAAAACCCCTTTCCTTTGAAAGCAAGGGTTGATGAAAAACTACCAGAGCTCCAGCACCCCTTACCACTGCTCTCAGGGCTCTGTAATCCTTCTTGATGCTCCTCAGACTGCTCCTGGCTCTACCATAGATGCCCACATCAAACAACAGTAGTGGTTCATAGTCAGTGAACTGTATGAAGTTTGGAAGTAGTCTCTTGGTGATGTCCTGGTATGAGCCCCTGGTAAACAGCACACCTCTCTAGAGAGTGCATCAGGGCAGCAGATGAGTGCCTCTAACACTCAGAAGAGCATCGCCTGCTACTGTGACCCACTGCCTCTTCTTAGTTGCACTGGTTGCTATATTGGGATGAGATAGGTCTGCCTCATTTGGCTCCAGCATCTCTCCTGATTTGATAGGTCCCACATCTAACTGCAGAGTCGTGAAACAGTTCTGCAAAAGCACTTCAGGCTTTGGGGAAAGTCTCTTTCTCCAGCAGGTCCTTGCTGATGGAAGCTTCCATTCTTTTCCATCATTGGCCCTCCTCCCTTCATACTGAACTGGAATTTTTGGCTTTTTGGCCATGGGCCACTGTAGACTGTACTTGGAAACAGCTATCTAACTCCTCAGCCTCCCTGACATTATTGCAGCCTTCTCACTGCCTCCTGCAGTTCAGTCACCTGCTGAAGTAAGTCCCTCAACTGGGCAAATTTTTTGCAGTCAGGTCTGCTGCCTGAAAAGAAAGGTCCAGGCACTTCCTGCACTTCTGTGGTCTGTATTACATCCTCCCTTCAGCAGTTCCGTCTGGGTGAAGGCATCAGCCACCGTTGGGGTAGATGGTACAGACCTCCTAGTGGTGTCTGGTAATAAAACTGCTTAGGAATTTTGTGACTTTTTTTTCCCCTTAATGGGAAACACCTTTAAGTGAAATTGACTAGCTCCGAAAAATACATAAAAGCCCCCAAAAGAAAAAAAAATAAAGAAAATGAGTGAAATAATGTAGCACTTACTCATTTCATCAAAACTAATGTGACCAAATATATCCAGCCTTAGGTTACCTAGAGGACAACAAGTTGAACATGTACCAGGAGTATGACCTTGTGGTGATGGAAGTGAACCACATGCTAAGGTATGAGAAGTGTTGAAGAAAACTGTGTTTGCTCAGCGTGGGCCAGCAAAGGCTAATTTTTCTATCTGCTGCTTTCTTTTCTGCTGCTACAGAAACAAAGAAAATGTCAGAATCTCTTCCCCTGACAAAGGATAATGAAGGAAAGTTTCAACAAGGAAAACTCTGACTGGATATTCAGAAACATGTTTACTCCTGAGAGTGCTTCAGCATTTGAACTAGTGTCCAGAGAAGCTATGGAATCCCCATCTTTTGACTGCAGGGCAGTGCCCTAAGTGGTCTGCTTTAACTGCGAAATCTATCCTGCTTTGAGCAGGAGACTGGAAGAGGTGACCTGTAGAGGTCACTAACAGCATTAGTTATTCAATGAAACTTCAAAGAAAAAAAGTATTTTAAATGTAAATTAAAAGCCAATTTTGTGCAACCAAACCACAAAAGTTTAGAACTTTTCCCACATCAAATTAAAATGGAATTTTCTGATACTTATTTTTCCTTTAAAAATCCTCACATAAAATGATTTTAAAAGTTTAAAATGTTTTACATTTTTTTGTTGACAAACTTATCAGTGAGATATCATTTTTATAGGTTTATTTCTTAACATTTACATTTTATGTGCATATTATTAGTTTTTCTGTTATTCTTATTTCAATAACAAAACCCAGCACCTGGATGGCAAAAGAATATTACAAACCTTAATGAGAGCTTTGAGCGATGTGTTTATCAAAACAATAATAAACCTAAATATCCTAAAATCAACATTTTAAAACAGAGGTGGAGGTCTACATCATTTATTCATGCATTTTTCTTTTATGTACTTTAAATTACTACAAGTTTCCTGAATTTATCACTAGACTAGAGTTTTTTCAGTGTTCCTATTTATGTTGGGATTCTGGTCTGGTCATTTTGATTTCTTATTTTTGGCAAAATCTTGCTGGTAAAGAGATTACAGTAGGCCATTATAAATTGAATATTTTAGGGAAATAGCCGTAGAACTGTTACGCATCTACTCACAGTGAATTTTGAAGTCCTTGTACTGTCTGTCTTCAATTGCTACCACGTACAAAGCAGCTCGGTCTGGAAACATTAGCCCTCCAGGTTTCTGTTGATGAATTGTGGGGAAATGGATCTCGTAATCTATTCACCTGACAAAGACATCACATTTTGAACTGCACATACAAAAACCAGACAAGCACCCCTTGCATGCCTTTATTGTTTTCCTTCAGATTGTCACATCAGCTTTAATCTCAACATCTCTGGCAGCCTGTAGCAATGTCATTAGTGTCCATATCAGTTTCACCAGTAGTTAGTCAAAAGAAAAGCTGATACTCTTTTAGTTAATCTTTTTGTTAAAACCTAAGAAATGGCATTTGGAGATGCCACCTGTTATGGTAACAGTAGGAGGGAGAAGGCTTGCAATTAGAAAATAAATGATGATTGCTCCAGCAAAGAGTATGACACGCAGAGCACCTACCAGCCACTTGTCTCGTGCAAAGATGACTGTGTTTAACATTGACTCATAGAACAGACAGTAACCCATCCACTCGCTGATTATGATGTCTACTTTATCCACAGGTAGTTCAACTTCTTCCACTTTACCTTTAAATATTGTGATTACTGAAAAAAGAATCCAAAGAAACATGTTTCACATAATAAAATACCTGACTAAGATCCTTACTGGTGAATGTCAGGCTGACCTTTTCAATATGATTCTCTTCTTGAATGCCTGTAGACAAGGGGTGGGTTTGTATGACTCAACTTGCAGTAAATGCAAGTACATGTACTTGCAGGAAATGTAATAAACAGAAGTTTTAGTATCAGTATATGGGAAGAAAAATCACAACCCCAAACCAAATCCCAAACCAAGTAAAACCAATAATAAAAACCAAGTGGAAAACAGGTCTTACCTGGTTACTTGAATGATCTAATTTTACATGTCATTTGGAAGATTTCTAAATTATTGACCAAACAATGCAAAGAATCTACCTAGAATCCTTTAAACATCCCTGCAGAGTTATGCACACACCATCTCATCACTGAGTTGTTAGAGATTTATGGAACTAAGATCTAATTCTCATCTGCTTTTCAAATGTATTATGCTAGCTTAACGATAAGGAAACTAAGGCTTATTTATTCCATGAATTCTGAGATGCTGACTCAAATGAGAAAGTGTAGTCTTAGCCTGACATTACACAAAGAAGAAAGTTCGTACAAACATGGTCCTCTCATGCAAAATATTCTTTTCATTCCTTTCTGCTTCATGACTGAATCTTTTATAACATACTGGCATTCTCACTCTCAATCTTCTTTCTGGTTTAGATTTGCATAAATTTCCACAGTTATCTAAAGTGACTGCTGGAAAACATTACTGTCAGGTACTTTGTCACCAAATCAGTTTCAAGGAAATTAGAAAGGGTGCTGGAAGTTTGGTGTATCAGTTCCTCAGAGATACTATTACAACACAGCACATTAAATTACTGGCAATACAGTATACTATTTACAGGTCACTGGGCAAGCAAATCAGCAAGCAATTAATAGATTTGGTTGATACTAGAACAGATATTTTGCTTGAAGGAAAGTTAAATGACAGTTTAGATTTTATTCAGTTGTAAAAAATAATTTTGTTTTAGGATCACTGCACAAATCACCAATCATTCTTGCATTTAAAAATATATTTCCTAGTTACAAAGTTAGTCTGAATTTTGTAGACAAGTAATTATCAGCTTGGGTTTGTCTGCTGTTTGTATTGTTTGTTGCAGTGCGTAAAGTCTCATGGTTCTGGATTCTTCCTTGACAAGGTAACTGATGCATTTGAAATTCAGGAATAAAATATTTACTTTCCATAATTAATTTATAAGATTACTATATTACTCTTAATAAATGGCAATTTTTAATTATGGCAACTTTTATTGATGGAAGTGGTCAACATTCAGTTTGAGGAAGATGAAGGTACTTTCCTTTAGCTAGAACTAGGTTAGCTGTTTAGGAGTGGAGGTGTGGGTTGAGTGATTTTGAGAACTCAGCCCAGTGAAGATGTTGTTTCTTCTTTCCAAAACACATATAGAACTAGTATGACTCTAACCAGATGTGGCCACTTCATTTGCATTGTAAACTTTTAATCCCTGAAGTTGGTAAGACTCAGATTCAGACTGGTAACACAAAGTATCAGCTGGTGAGACTGACTGGAAAGAGCAGGGTTCTCCTTTCCATTCTTTAAACTCCTTCCTTTCACAGTAGCTCAATAGTTCATCTGCTGTTATACTGAAGACTCTTCATATTATATGTTATACTGAAGACTCTTCATGGCTCCAGCCACAAGTTCTCTTTTCTTCTGAGAATTTTTGCTGCCACAATCCTTTTGGAGTGAATTTTAGCACTGTTGACAGCTGTGAGAGTGACATACCTGAAGACTTTGAAGCCCTCTGCTTATACCTAGAAGAGTTGCAGTGTAAGCAGCAGCACAAGTTCCTCCCACCTCCCTTCACTTTCATCAAATATCTTCATAAGGCATCATTTAGGAACAGATTGTGCTGTGCCCAGCAGTATTATATCTGTTGTGGAAACAGTGGGTTTTGTCTCGATTCAGCCCTTTTGCTGATTGCATTTCTCTAACCAATTAGGTGGAGAAAAAGAAAAATTTTCTTGAGATCCTTTGGCTCAGTACCTGGTTGCATTAAAATAAAGTGAATGCGAGTCAGTGTAAAGTGTGCAATTAGAAATCCGAGTTGTACAATTTGTTTGTACTAAAGACCAAACTACAGTTGGACAGACTACTGAATTTGTCCAGGCAAGTGTCCTGTCAAAGGGGAGGGCACCCTGTCTCTTCCTCCACAGAAGGAAGAAACAGAGACAAATACTTTCTGCAACTTCCAGAGCACACTAAATCCTTCTTACTTACTCTGACAATGGCGCCTTCACACGGAATTCCTGTTCACAAAACATGAATTGACTTGTGACATACTTTTTGTTTAGCTATTTTGTGAAAGGCAATTTTGCAAATAACCAAGCTGAGGTCAACACCTCATTTTTTTAGTGCCTTATCCCTACAGTGGAGGTATGTTCTGGTCCTTTGCATCCTTCCTTTGCTGAACCAAATTTTGCATATACTGGCTGGCACATGTCACTGCTGTTTCTTTTGAATCACTTGAATACGCATGCTGTGCAATAAATTATCCTCTCAAACAGCTACGTGTTAGTCAGAGGCTGTGAGTGACAGTAATGAAAAATAGAGCAGATTTAAGTCAGAACAGCAATCTATTCCTGGATAGCACCAGCATAGACATGGCTAAAAGCAGGGACAAATTATACAGTCTAGCCAGCTATGACCTGTGCTGCTCTGCAGCAAAGGCAAGCTCTTCACAAAAAACACTTTTAAACAAGAACTGCCTCCCAGTCTGTTAAAAAAAGCTTGATTTTTTTGGCTGTTATGAAGATATCTTCTGTGCAGTGATTTGGAGGAAGACTGAAGACATGAAACAGAGCTTGTTGGAGATTATTTTTTGTTAGGAGTTTTCAGTAGGTTGGAGGTATTTTTAACATGTTTCTTTTTTTTCTCTCTTTTTTTTTAATTTAAATGTTTCCATCACCCAGGATATTTCAACAGTTTTCTTTTGAAGAAAAACAAGTTTTCTATGATATTCTTATTCTGAGGATTAAACATTTTCATTTGCTTGTGTGTTTTTCAATATTTATTTTTGAATTTTTGAAGTTGAATTTTTAAAGTTTGAGTTTTTTTAAAGTTGGAAGGCAGAATAAACTTTTATTGAAAAATCTGTATTGACATGTAACACTTTTTTGCTTTGAACCTTATTTCATCTTGAATGTCAATGTATTGTGTATGTCAATTCTGTTTAAGAGATATGTTGGCATTCAAATGGCGGAACTAATTTGAAAAGATCAGTTCTAGTAGGGGGCCTTCTGTCTGTTTTGCTAAATCCACCTGCCTGCTGGTGAGTCGTATTTCTTCTGTTGTCTAAGACTAGAAGCAAATGTAGAACTAAATTCTCCTGTGAGAAATTGTTGTAGTGCCTAGAATAAGCTGTTTAATTTTGTATTTACAGAAGTAAATTACATTAAACTATAATCTACACAACATAAAATAATCAGAAAAAGTAAAAGTTATCATAGAATCATAGAATGGCCCAGGCTGGAAGGGACCTCAGAGATCATTTTAATCCAGCCTCCCTGTCACCAGGGATGCCACCTCTCGACTAGATCAGGCAACACATGGGGATCGAACGGGAATTGAACCCACAACCTTGGCGTTGTTAGCACCACACTCAAAAGACTGAGCTAACTGGCCCCCTCTTCTCTCTCTCTCCTGAAGAAAATAGTTGTTTTATATGCCTTACTGTTGTCCAGGTGGTTGGCCTTGATGATTTTTTCTGAGTAGTCAGATATACTTGAGCATTCAATCTAGGAAAAAAAGAAAAACAGAAAAGCAAGAGAAGAGTAATTGTTACAGGTCTCAGATATATGAATAGAAACCAAACCTACTGAAGGCAGCAAAGACTCTATAGAGCATGTAACCACTGGTAAAGAATGAAACAAACCTACATAGGCAGGATCACAATCAATGGTATCTTAATATTTAAACCGCTGTCTCTGCTTGACTGGTTCATATAGAAAATACTGTTTTCAAAACTGTTGAAATGTTGAAAAAAGGGGTCCGAACTACAAAATTACATAATTTATCAATCATATTATTGAATTTATTCCTGTTATTTCAGAATCTTGCCTTTTCTCCAAAAAATTGAATGACATGAATTACCATGGTTCTACATTTCCTCATGTATTTTAAAAGAAACATATATCCAAACTTTGTGAAAAATCTTAAGATTCAAACTATGCCAATACTGGTCAATGTCAAGAAGCAGTTGCTTTTCTCTCTGAAAAATCTATCATCTTTTTCAATACATGCTATCAAAAAATAATACAGACATTTTACACATAAATAATGATGAAATTACCATATTCACAAAATCATCCAGGTCTGCATGTCTTTTTCTGTGACCAGTCCTGTGCTTTTATTGGGAAAGGAATTACAAAGTACCTTCTAGTTTTACATTTGGCCTTTAGTATGCTAAAATTTTAGTTCTAACGTAAAAACCCATGTTTGCAATGATCTTTGATATCTGCATTCCATTAATTTCCCTGGGTTTTATGCCCTTTTAAAAACATGAAGGTCAAAGTTGCTGGTAGTCAACAAATCAGTTCATAATTTAACTCTTCCAAATTTGACATTAAACTGCCAATACGTTGTATAATCCTTGTCTCTTTAATACCTCTTGTCAAATAGAATTATTTTCTCTCTAATGAGGTGTTTTATACGTCCAGTGAATTCCATTTAACTTCTAAAAGTCAAACTTTGCTTGACCTCTGTGAGGGCAGTCACAGATGGCAGGACAGCAAATGGGAGGACATATAGGTAAGAAAAAATTGTTGTCAGGTTTTTCCCCAATTCTGTTTCAAGTCAGCTATCTGTTCAAATCTGCCTAGTTTCACAAAGTATTTTGATTTTATGAAAAATGTGTATTGCAATAAAATATGTCTGTACCTCAGTTTACAACCATAGAATCACAGAATGGTTTGGATTGGAAGGGACCTTTGAAGATAATCTAGTTTCAACCCCCCTGCCATGGACAGGGACATCTTTCAGTAGATCAGTTTGCAAAAAGTCCCATCCAGCCTGACCTTGAACACTTACAATGATGGGGCATCCACAACTTTTAGGGGTAGCTTGTTCCAGTGTCCCATCACCCTCATCATAAAGGATTTCCTCCTAATATCCAATATAAATCTACCCTCTTTCAGTTTAAAACTTTGCCCATTGTTCTATCACTACACTTTCTGATAAAGAGTCCTTCCTCATCTATCCGCACGTCTGCTTTAAGTACTAGAAGGACACTAGAAGGTCTCTCTAGAGTCTTCTCTTCTGCAGGCTGAACAATCCCAATTCTCTCAGTCTTTCTTTATAAGAAAGGCATTCCAGCCATGTAACGATCTTCATGGCCTTTCTCTGCACCCGCTCCAGTAGACTCATGTCTTTCTTGTACTGAGGATCCCAGGGCTGGATGCAGTACTGTTGCAGATCAGGGCTGGGCTGGCCACTAAACGATGAACAGACACTTTCTATCCCCCTCTCCCTCCCGAAATGGGAAGAAAAAGGGAGTGAGGCAGTGGGACTTACGGACTGAAAAAGATTTAATGGATAAGGAAATCACAAAAATAGTGAACTACATACATATATACAAAACTGATAGAAAACTCGACTCTCCCTTCCCCCCCATAGTAAACACCACTGATGCTGCAGAGCAGGCAACACTGGGGAAGCCCCAGGCTCAGAGGCAGAGGGGAGCTGAATACAGGAGCTGGATTCAGGAACTCAGGGTCTGGATCAAAACCAGGAGATCAGACTGAGTCCTCCCTGGACGCTGGCCATTGGAGAAGAGACAAAAAACCCCTCAACTCTCGTAATCCCTCAGTTTTATACTGAATATGACATATATGGAATGGAATACTCTTGTTGGTCCCTTGTCCTGTCTGTTACTCCCTGGAGGTGCAACCTCGTAACCCCTCTTACTTCCTGCCCCCCTCAGCGTGGCACACAAGAGCCAGCAGTGGGCTTGGTCACTATAGGAATAAATATAAGCAAGAGCCTCTCTGCATACGAGTCACAGGCAGCAACTGTAAACATCGGGTGTTTTCACTGCTACTAGCAGACACTGCAAAAACATGCTGCTAACTTTCAGAAAGTGTAGCCTTTAAGAAGATACTGAACTCAGAAGTAAAAGTCACTGAACAGAGTTGATTCCATTTGGCTCAAACCAGGACAATACTCTGGGTGGGGTCACAATAGAGTGGAGCAGAGGGAGATTTCTCAACCTACTGACCATGTTTTTTATGCAGCTTGGAATACAATTTGCTTTTTTGTCTGTAATGCACTGCTGGCTCACATTAAATATTTCATCCACCAAATTCCCAAATCCTTCTCCATAGGGCTGCTCTCAATCAATTAATCACTCACTCTGTACTGAGCTTTTGGATTCCCTGATTCAAGTGAAGTATTCTGCACTTGGCCTTGTTAAACTTTGTGAGGTTCACACTGGTCCACCTCTTGAGAAGTCAAGAAGGCTTGGGCCTGTCAAGGTCCCTCTGCTGGCTGGCATCCTTTCCTTCAACTATGCCAACCGCACTAGTCAGTCTTGTGTCATCTGCAAACTTGCCAAGGGTGAACTCAATTCCACTATGTCATTGCAGATATTACACAGTAGTGCTCCCCATATGGACCCTTGAGAGACCCTTGACTTTCTTCAGCTGTATCTAGCTCTGCATATGTATATTCCTATCCACTTTCATTTTAATTCTCAGTCTTCAATCTAATGCTGTGAATGTCTCCTCTTACACTGAAGTCTTTTTCTGAAATAGTCACTGAACTTCCAGATTTCCTCTTCCTGTGGGCTGTGTCCTTTTCAACACCTTCTCATCCATATCAGCTAACATCTCACATGTGCCTTCATTTTATGTGTCTATCTCCTTCTTATGTAGACTGTCTTGTCTGAAAATACCATAGCATTCAGGTAGTTCTACTGCAGTGATTGTTCTGAATTTCTTATAACTAAATGCAGCAGATGAGCCAAGGTTTCAAGACATAATTTAATGTATTCTTCTGTCTCTCACTTATGCCTCTCAAGCACCAACACCCACATACTAATCCTATCTCTACATGTCTTACAACAGCTTCTCAGATAGATGAACATCATTGCATTGTCTACTGTTATCCTTCCACAATGGTAAGGTAACAGAGCAGATGAAGAAAGAAGAAAAATGGAGGGTTTTGGTTCTGCAACTCTCTACAAAGGGCTTGAAGAGAAAAAAAAAAAACCTTTGCTCTGAAGTGCACAATGATGGGATAAAAGTCAGTAATCATGAGCAAGAGAAACTCCTGCTGACTGTAGCAATACAATAGGTGTTAAGAGAGGACTTAGAGGCTCTGTCCTTGGAGATTTTCCAGACTGGACTGGATAAGATCTTGAGCACTGTGATACAGATTTAAACTTAAGTCTGTTTTGAGCAGGAGGTTGGATTAAATGTTGCCAGTGGTCTTCTAAACTAACTTGCAGGTGCCTAGTGCCTAAACTGCAAGTAAGAGATGGGGAACAGAATGAAGCCCCTATAATCCCAGGGGAAATGGTCAATGACCTGCTGCTCCACTTGGACACACACAGGTTTATGGGGCTGGATGAGATATGCCCAAGGGTACTGAGAGACCTGGTGGAAGTGCTCAACAAGACGCTTGCAATCATTTATCAGCAGTCCTGGCTAGTCAAGGAGATTTCAGTGCACTAGAAGTTAGCAAATGTGACACCCATCTACAAGAAGTTCTGGAAGGAGGATCCAGAGAACTGTAAGCCTGTCAATCTGACCTCAGTGCTAAGCATATCATCTTGCGTGCTGTCATGAGACATATACAGGTGATCAGGCCCAGTCAGAATGCTTTTATGAAAGGCAAGTCCTGCTTAACTAACCTGATCTCCTTCTATGACTGTAAGATTGCCATTACCAGATCCTTGAAGTATCTGCTTTTCCAACACAAATAGAGCTCTGCAGCTCAGTGTGACAGGGTTCATGGTGAGGTGGCTGATGTGACAAGAAGGTTTAAAATCTTAGGCCATAGCAGAGGAGTTTCACACTTGTCTGAGTTCCTTTAAGCTAAGTTTTCTGGATAGCATACCCCACAGCTTCAGTGCTGAACAGTCCCTGGGTAAGTTGACACTGGCGTACCACTGAGCTTTATAAATGCCTGAAGTATAGCCTGAACTGTTAAAAAGTCCAAAGTGAAAAAAAACAAAACAACAACAAACTTGTATTTTACTTTTCCTTTACTGTGTGATTTTTCTGTCAGCGAGCTGGCTTGCTGTAGAATAAGCACTAGTGCCAGTACAAGGAAGGGAGGAAGACCATATGGCCAGGGATGTGGGAGATGATAGGAAGGTGGGAGCACAGCATCATCATTTTTTATATGCTTATACATATACAACACTACAGCATGCTTGCATAAGACCTCAATTCCTGCACCAGAGAAGGCTATAGGTTTATTGTCACTGAGGTTGAGATAATAAACTGTGTACTTGGTTTACAATAAATAGTTTCTAGCTGCCAATTCTGCATATTAAGTCTCATGCTTAAATTCCAAACCTTCTGTCAGCACTTTCTGATTTCAGCAATCTATACTTCCTAGTCTGATGCTCAGATGAAGTACTCAGAATTAACATTGGATTTTAAAAATATAAGTCTGAGAACTGAACAGGAGTCATTGCATTTCATGTAATAACAATGCACAATTCAGTCAGTAACATGAGTTTCTGAGCAACCTGATCTAGTGGAAGATGTCCCTGCCATGGCAGGGGAGTTGGAATTAAATGACATTTGAGGTCCCTTCCAACCCAGATCAATCTGTGAGTGTTCAACTGTGCTGAAATGCACAGATGTAGCCAACCAAGTTTTAGTAAACAACTTTGTCAAAGAAGTACACAGAGAAATGGAACTTAGTTCCCCTTTTCTAGGCTGTATTTCTATTCTGTATTGTGTCTGCAAGGTAAACAGAAGTCCAAAGCAAAAAGAGATTGTATTTGCCATTTTAGAGTCAGTAAGTCAGGAAGCAAATAGATGATCTCTCTAATGATTGCACATTCATGCTCCTAAAGTTCAATGTCTTTAAGGTAATCTTTCCCTTCTGCTTCTGAAAAGCTTTACAGTTGACACAGGAAACAAGCACATGCTTTCTTTTTGCTGAGTTGTAAAGCACAGAGAAAAGTGTATAAAAGAAATTTGTTTCCAAGACTGCAAAGTTGCAAAACTTAAGAATTTCAAAAAGCAAGATGATAGCTCCTTTGACCACTCTGAGTGAGTCCCTTTAACAATTTTTTTTTTTTCACCCAGGAAGATACGTGGGTACGTACCAGATCACAAAAGACTCCACAAGAAAAGGCATTGTATCACTATTTGGAAAAGGCACACTACTGCAAGTCGTAGGAAGCAACTCGACTGAAGTCACTGTAAGTTAAGCCATACAGAGACTTGAAGAGAAGAATTTCAAACCAAAACAAATAAGAAAAGGTAAACCACCAAGCCAAATTCTCAGGCAAAATGCACAAAGAAACTCAAAATACGAGAAAAAATCTTCTTACCCCATATACCTTCTTGGCTCCTGCCTTTGCAGCAAACATGGAGAGGATTCCCGTGCCACTTCCAACATCAAGGACAATCTTATCTTTAAAAACATGCTTATTGTGATACATTGAATTTCTATAGGTTAAAGTGCGCACTTCATCCTTTAACATTTCCTGTCATGAAAAAACATAGTGTTATTATTTGAAGCACTTGTATGCATTCCAGACTGCTACTCAATGCAGTCACTTATTATAATTTAAACAGTATTAACATAAAATCTGCAGAGTTTTTCAAGTACTTTGGGGTACGCACATCAAAGTGACTGTACAATGCTAGCTACTTAAAGCTGAATTATTAAGAACTATGATGTCCTTTGTACAATTTTATTTCTCTAAATATTACTTTGCTTACAATTGACAATTAGAAGGTAATCTAACCACAGAACCGTTTTGGGCATAGACAGAAGCCATACAGAAATCCAAGCTTTTCTCCTAAATCCTGCATAATTGCTTCAGCAGAGGGACTTTTTGAGGTTCCTCTTTGAACATAAAAAAAAAATTCTGTAAACTATTATAAAACAGCAGTTTTGATAGCCTTGCCCAAAGTGATATAGGAAGTCTGTAGCAGAGCTACTGCTCTTCTATTCACTCATTTATATGACCAATTTCCAGAATATATTAAAATATAACTTACAACACTATCTCACTATTTAAGTTGTCATTGTTAGGTGCTGATTTTTACTTCACTGATAGCAGCAGTACATGAATTTCATTCCATTGACTCCTTGCTCTCAAATGTGTATGTATCAGTTAAACCATATCGTAAAAAGCACCAAGGTCAAGATCCAAGTGCGATTTGAAGAGAAGTGTGGGCCATTCAACAGACACTTTAATTTTCTCAGAATGCTTATCTTAAGTCTTAGAAGTATAGACTTTTGCTTATATTACTGCTATAATTTCATAGTTTAAGCAAGTACACAAATGATTTTTTTGAATTTCAGGATAAAAATCAGTCAGTTAACTGCCCAGCAGCCTGAAGTACTAGTGCACTGGATTGTTACATATCATCTTCATAGGAGACTACAAATAATAACTGTAGAGGAATAAAAGGATATTTTTATCATCATAAGCATGCTTTGGTAACAGGCAAAAAAGGCAGAGGAATAGTCCAACAGCAACAGAAAGGTGATGGCACACACTCTCACAGAATTTCTTTGCAAACATCATAAAGAAAGAAGATACTTAGGAGTGTCAAGCATGGATTTGGAGGTGACTGACCACCTAATAGCTTTCTATGGTGAAGTAATGGACTCTATGGATGAGGAATGAGCATGCTTGTTTGTTTATCTTGATTTTAGACTTTCAACACTGTTTCCTCTAACATCCTTGTTGAAAAACTTATGGAATACAGACTACACAGTGAAGAAGACTGAAAACTGACTGAATAATCACTCTCAAAATGTTGTGATCGGCAGCACCAAGTCTATCTGGAGACCAGGTACTCTCCTGTCTCCTGTAGAGCTGTATCCTTCTAACAGGAGCTCAATGTGATTTCAGGTTTCTGATGGGTCTTCAGTATTTCTCTTAGGTCTCCTTCCCACTAAATTGTCCCTCTATTTTCTTTCACTCTTGGATTAAACTTCTGAATGCTATACTCTCAAGATGTATTTGGCAGATATAAAGCTTCTGTTTATGTATATGCCCCACAAAAAATTACTAGAGATATAGATACTCTTTCTTAAGTGGTCTGTGAAAAGTGGCACCGATTTCATATTGTTAGCCTTTTTACATCTTAGTCTTTAAAATCCCATCCTCTTGGGTCATGTAAAGATAAGACATTAGTGTCTTCTTTACGATTGGTCTATGGTCAACTTTTTGATGCTCCACTGTGTATTTTGCATTCTTTCCAGGAGTGTATTTACTGGAAGCTATTGGGCTGTATGTTCGCATTACTGAAACCTGGGCACTGAAGCAACATGCCAGGAGTCAAGAAAATACTTGGCTTTTCATGTCAATTGACTATCTGTACTCAAAAATGCAAGAGAACCTAATTTACTAACAAGGTAGTTTCCACGTCTGGCTGGCTTAGTTTGGAGCCCTCATAAATGGACTAATTTGATGCATTCATAAAGATAACCACTGTACAGATAGCTAATATAAGCTCTGTGGAGAACTCATGCATGTGGGACAGAGGTTTTGAGCACAAGTCTCTAGAGAAGTGGATGATCTCTTTGGCACTTAACCAAGTTACACAGTCTTGTGAGGAAAGGTAGAGGAATATTATCATGAGCAAGCAGGAGGAAGATAAATTAATAAATCAAAGAATACTGTAGTAGTAGTAGTAGTAGTAGTAGTATAGTAGTAGTTGTAGTATAGTATGAAATAAAATTGCTGAAAGAAAAACAAATATTACCTCATGAATTCCAAAGTGAGCATAGGAATCAAAGTAATAATCCCTAGATGTCATCTCTTCTGGATTGATGAGCTTTGCCATCTTGCCTCTGCCTGGGCAGCTTGGTTGCAGTGGAACATGTATGACAGATTGAACTGGCTTTGGAACAACAGTAGGCTGAGGAGGCTGGGATGGGATGGGACAAACCTAGAAGAACATGGAATATTGTTAAGAAGCATCATTAAAATAAAATATTTCTCCCTATGTCTACAATAGTGATATTATTGTAACTAGCTAGGAGATAGTAAGACCAAAGACACCTGGGGTATCGTAACTGAAATTAAGGCTGCCTCCTGTTCTTGCCTTGTTAACTTACTTTCTCTTTCTTGGAAAATTTCCTTAAGGCCTTTTCCCTTGATGTTCCTCTGTGGATAATTCAATGGCAAATACCTACTAGGGCAGATACATATCAGCGCAAAGTAATAGCAAATTGTTGGTATTGACTGAAGTAAGTGACTCAAAACATTGACATAAGACAGCTAAGACCTAGCTTTTCTCCTTTAGTTGCTTTTTCTGCCAGATTGCTACAGCTTTGTGAGAGGTAAGTTGTAATAAATAAATAGTTCCCCTGCAAAGAAGAGGTCATAATCAAAGTATTTCAAAAACAGTGTTGCCAGCAAGAGGGACAGGATTCACAATCAATTCTTAATTGTCAGGTAATATATCTAGCCATATGGATGAGGTAGGTGTGAGAATGCTCACACTGTCTGAAAGTCTCTCAGCATGTCCATGAAGCACTGTAGGGAGCTGTGTGGGATATGTGAACCCTTAATTTAGTTTCTTCGGTTTGGGAGATGTAAGAGTTATGTGTTACCAACACACACTGAGCCACTGCACTTGATTTTAACTTGCATATTGCATCTTCAACATCAAAACCTCAATAGAGCCAGAATGCCAGAACCCGTTGACACCTGTAGCACCTAAGACAGAATGTTTCACAAACAAAAGATACAGACCATGATTTGGTCCATAAGTACATCCACATCCTTCATCCTTACCATGAAGAAAAATGCTCAAAACTGAGAGAGACTGAGCAAGATGTTACAGCTTCACATATGCACTAAGTCATCTGGAAATCACGTGTCAACAATTTTGTATATTAAGAAGGTCAATCCTACTTAAAATGTCACCTTCTTTCATCTTTTTTTTTTTGTATTTTCAGATTGAGCAGTTTCCCAGTGGGAATCAGATTTGTCTCTCTAGATAGTTTCACAAAATTCACTCTATCTTCTATAGCTTGATGCTACAAGACATAAATCCCTTGTACTCTCTCTGAATAGCATCAATTAGCCTAGATCAGTTTACTTTGATATTAAAAAAAAAAAACAACCCACATTTTTTCCCCTGTTTGTTGCAAGAAACTTCACATTTTGTGAAGGTGTTGCTCGTCATATTCAGCCCTTCCAGATTTGACCCTGACAGTTTTAATTACATACTTGAGGTTATATACTAATATTTTTCTCCATTGGTGTACACACTAACAAGTTTTTGCACTTACCTTGCCCTCTAATCCTTTCTGTATTTGTCTGCTGGATTAAAAACACTTAAACTGTAGATGTTTGGAATTTTGTTTTAATTTAATATGAACTCTATTTCTCCTAAATCTTAACAACATTGTCATTTTACAAGCAAAATGTGTGAATATAACAGTCCCTGAACTCTGTGTTCTGTTTCTGTCTTAGATAAGAAGGTCTTCAGACACAAGACAGTACATCATAAGCTATTGTTCAAAAGAAATGTCTCTACTGGAGACATCTCTCAGTTTTTGTAATGAAAAGAGTATTAGCATTTCACTTGCTGTCAAACTACATATTCATGTTTGGCTGTATAATAGAAAGTATTTTCCACAGGAAAACAGACTAGTCTTGAAGGTGAATCTTCTGTCTGGGTCTCAGGCAGTATCAGTTCTGCTCCTGGCTGCATGGAATTTGTCTAGACAGGTTTATGAGAATAAGGCTTATTCTAATTAAAGATACAGAATGAAACTAAACTCAGCAACTCAGGCTAGGAAAGTTGTCTGAATGATTTTGTTCACTGTAAAGGAATAAACATTGTTATCTCACAGTCTGCAAGACAGCTGAACTCTGCTACAGCCAAGAAGTGGCAAGATAACTTTTATTAAGATACTAAATCTTTGACTCCATATATTTTTTAGGTTTAAAGCACCTGAACACCTACTGCTCTCAAGTGTCCATCTACATCTCTGCCAGAGAGTACATACCCCAAGTAACAGAGGAAGTAGAAAATTATTAGATAAGATTCATAACCCTCATTCATTTCTCAAAATCCCACATCTAAACATCTTGACATAGGTTTCTAAAACACATAGAGGCATTTAGTGACAGATGTGATAGAATTGCCCATGTGCCTTAATGGAAACTGTTGAAATTCTTCTTTCTTGAAAAAACTGGACCTAAGTCAACATGGACTTTTGAGGCTATCTGGATGTACAATTCTCATAATACAAAAGAGAACTGGGTATTAAAAATCACAGGCTATTTTGAAAACATGAGACTTTCAGATATATCAAATCTGTCTATAGAGAGATGAAACAGTGAAATATGCACAACTCATTCTCTGGGAGGTTTATGACAAAAATTGAGGTGTGTAGAGTAAAAATAAACTTGAATTTCAGTGTTTATTTCTTGTTATTACTATAGAGGCACAGGATTGCTTTTAAAATTGTTGTTTAATGTTTTCTACCTCACACATTCTTATTTATGATGTTTTTATGGCATTGAAGAGGTTAATAGTATCTTCTGTCTGGAAATGCCTACTCTTACCTTAATAAACTACACTCATTATGAATGATATTTTAGTTTAATATGATTCAATTTCAGCATCCTCGTATTTTTAAATAAATGGTTTTATCATATCTAAATGTTGGTCGTATTTATTTCTTGGGCCTGACAGCTTTCTGTGTCAGAACTACTAAAACAGAATATACCTAATACAATATTTATTGGTCTGAATTTAATAATCTCCAATTTTAGCATGCAAGAGTTTATCATCTGATATGCAGTCACCGTACCAGTGCCAAAAATACAGCTTCTTCCTACTACTATATAAAGACATAGCCAAATCTAGGAGGCATTTGGTATCCTCCTACCAAAATTTAGGCTTCCTTCTTGGAAGTCATAACAAAATGGGACAAGATAAAACCTCCCTTGACTTCTTTATCTTGTATGATTTTCAAATAAGTCTTTGTCCCAGGTTTGTGAGAGTATATTTTAAGTGATCTTTGGATTGAGCAAAGAATTTGGACCATTATCTGAGAAGTTTTAATCTGAATTTCTCAGGAAACAAAGCCGCCACTGTATCTTGTCTGTGTATCCCACTGATAACTTCTGAGCCTGTCCAACCTAGTCTAATTTGAAAGAAGAGTGAAAATACCAAACACATTTGTACTCCTATACATTTCTAGAAAGTCACAAATTAGGTAGAAGCCATTTTAACGATCCACTGAAGTAACCAGTTTTCAGTTGTCATGTATTCTACTTTCTCTGGGTTTATTAAGTTAACTGACTTTTGTTACGTGTAATGCGTAGTGTACAGTATAACCGTACTCTGTGATCAGCAATGAAGAAGTAATGTAAGAAAAAGTAGTGTAGGAAGAAGTATATGCAGAGCTGAGAACCAAGTTGGTAGATGAGGAGATAAAGAGCACATACTTGCAGGAAAAAAGGTTTCATTAATTTCCCTACTAATAAAAAATTTTTTTAATGCTAAGGGTGTGAAGTTCACAAGGAGTGTAAAATGGCCAGAAATCAAGGGGTTCCAGCAGAGATCAGATGACACAAACATTCAACAGCAGACAGACATTACTGTCTGGAAACAAAGATGTTATACATGTGTGCAACAGGCACGTGTTTTCAAGAAGTAAGGCCTTCAAAGATGAGTAAAGAATGTTTGCCTTTCATTGTAGATTTTGTTTTTCTTAGAGGAGGATTTATGTTGTGATATTTCTCAAAATCAGGATGAAATAGACATTTCCTCAGCAGCTATAGATCTACTTTCTGCTTAATAAATATTAGGGTCAGTTTATTTTAAATTGCAGGTAACTATGAGTTCAATGCAACTGCAACTCTGTCTAAACTCTAAAACTGCAAATATAGCCAGACAGGCTAAGAAAATTCAAAGAGAGAACTGATTTAAATTGCTTACTTTGAAGCTACCCGTTTTTCAGCCACTTCAAAGTCAATCACTGCTCTGAACTTCCTGCAGGCAGTGTCTGAAATGTCAGATCAACCTGTCCCAGACAAACCTGTCCATTTATTATCAGCAAGAAATTCACTATCCTACACAGATAAGTACAGTTGAGAGTACATTGCAATCACCTGATGTTATGCTTAAACTCATGGTGATAGCAAAAATATTGTGAAAACACTGAGTAGAGATCTGCCACAGGCCACTTGACGAACAGAGCCAAGAGGATGAGGCCCTCCATAGGCAGATAGAAGCGGCTTCGCATTCACAGGCCCTGGTCCTTGTGGGGGATTTCAACCACGCCGATATCTGCTGGAGGGACAACACGGCAAGGCATCAGCAATCCAGGATGTTCCTGGAATGCATTGATGACCACTTCCTCCTAAAAATGGTAGAGGAACCAACAAGAAAAGACGCTATGCTGGACCTTGTTCTCACGAACAGGGAAGGGCTGGTGAGAAATGTGAGGCTGAGGGATAGCCTTGGCTGCAGTGACTATGAAGCCATAGAATTTAAGATCCCCAGGGCAACTAGAAGGGTGTATTCCAAGCTTATGACCCTGGACTTCAGGCATGCAGACTTTGATCAGTTTGGGGATCTGCTGGCCAAAGTGCCATGGGACAAAGCCCTAGAGGGAAGGGGGGCCCAGGACAGCTGGTCAGTATTCAAAGATCACCTTCTCTGGGCCCAGGATTAAAGTACACTGACAAAGAGGAAGGCAGGAAAGAATGCTAGGAGACCTGCCTTGGTGAGCAAGGAGCTCCTGGGCACACTGTCACACAAAAAGAAAATTTACAAGGAGTGGAAGATAGGATGACTACAGTGGGGGGCATATAAGGAAGCTGCTCAAGCAGCAAGAGAGCTGGTAAGAAAAGCCAAAGCTCAGTTAGAATTAAATCTAGCCAG